CGATTTCTTGTCTTTGGTAGGACCAGAACATTTGAAGCTGTTGTTGTTGTTGCTGTAAGAGGTGTTGGAATGGCGGCGGAGTGGCCGCCGTGGGTTGCGGAGGTGGATATTGGGTTTGTTGGTGTTGGTTGTTGTTGTTGTTCTCCATGATGGATATGATGATGATGTTTTTGAGCGAGAATTGGTGGCTCTTGATTTTGATGGAATTGGGAATTTAATGGAAGGAAATCAATTTAGTTTGATGGGATAAGGTAGGGCCTAGGGCACGGGATTTCTTTTCTTTCCCTTTTTTTTCAGTTGTTTTTTCTGTTTTTTATTTTATTAAATAAAGAACTCGAACTAAATATAAGATTGTTCTAAAAGAAAGTAGACTAAAAGCGTTAGCAACAAGACGAAGGTAAGTCTTAGTGGAAAAGAGGAATGAATATGAAGACAATATTCCTATGTTGACACTAAAAGAATTTTTTATTTAAATAATTCAATTTTTTGAAAAAAAATTTAAAATATTTCACTTTTTAAAAATATTTTTAAATTATCTCGGTTAGAATTTGGGTTTATACAAGAACGTCATTCTAATTGGCAATCATTTGTTAAGGGCATAAGGGTGTCGTCAATTGGATTGGAGACACCTCATGCAGTCTCTAATCTAATTGGCGACTTGGTTATGGACATAAAAGAGTGTCGCCAGTTCATCTTGAAGTTCCTTATAATTTGAAATTTTGTTCTATAAATAGAGGTGTTTTGATCATTTACTTCCACATCTCATCTGATATCTTTATTCTACTGATAACATGTATTGTCGCCGGTAGAAAAAAGTCGTCTATTCAAGAGAGAAGCCTCTGATGGACATGTTGTTTTAGAACATACAAAGTTTCAATCAACTTAAGAGGGAGTTGAATCGGTGGTTGGAAGGAGACATTGATGAAGGGAAAAAATTTGTAGTATCGAGAGACTTGATCGGCTGCGTGAATGAGTTCGTGTTAAGACAGACGAAGATGCGAGGAAAGTCATGTTTGGACCGAATGAAATTAGTTTGATTGTTGTAATCAGTTAGTAATGTTGTAACCAGCTAGTTAATGTTTTATGTTTTATGAAATTAGTATGTGTTGTATGTTGAGTTCGTTTTATGAAATTAGTTTGTTGTTAACATTGTTATAACAAAAACCCATCAATATATAAAAATATTTGGTTACTACAAATGAAACGATAAGCTAAATCACGATGCAGATGTTCCTCCGACATTGGAACAATTTTTATCCATTTCGATTCTTATACGCTTGCTTCAACTCCTCAAACACCTGACGTGAATTGACAACGAGGGGGTCGAGCGCAACGAGTTAGGATGTCTAGGAGATGTGGAACTGGTGGTCAGTATGACTCACCCGGTCGCCAACATTAGTTTATGTAATATTTTTTTAATTAATAATAATATTATTTATTTTTCGTAAAAAAAAATCAAATTTTAAAGAGTCTCCAGATGAATTGGCGACACCCTTTTACGTCTATAACCAAGTCGCCAATTAGATTGGAGACTGCATGAGGTGTCTCCAATCCAATTGGTGACACCTTTGTGCCCTTAACAAATGGTCGCCAATTGGAATGACGCCCTCGGGTAAACCCAAATCCTAACTGAAGTACTTTGAAAATATTTTTTAAAATGGGGGTATTTTGAGTTTTTTTTTTTAATTGGGTTATTTGGGTAAAAAAATCCACACTACCCCCCCCCCCCCCCCCCCCCTATTTATGCCTTACAGACCATTTTTAGTGTGACACAAAAATCAAAAAAAGAAAAAAATATTATTAAAAAAATAAAGATATATCTAAATGTATATAAATACGATGTAATTATAAATTTTGGTGATATCCTACCTTTTCTCATAAGAAGATTCTGAACAGAAATGGCATCAAATTAAGCTATAAAGTCAACATATTAATTGTCTTCTTAAAAGATTCAGATAATTTGATGCAACTGATTTTGTGTGATTTTTCATTAATGCTTTTAATTAAAACAACAAGTTTATGATATTTGTTGGTGGGAGTTTCAAGGAGTTTGGTGCATATAGAAGAATACGTGTAACAAACTGATTTGTTGAATCTCTTATCTATTGAATGGAGATTCCTATGTTGGTGGCATGAAGTTCAACTTAAAGAGTGTCTAAAGATCCAAGTAACTATCCATAAATCATGTTTGCCCAACACTAGAGGAGTTTTAAGGAAACTTCCCTCAACATTTAAAATTGGATAAAGGTGGTTGAGGGCGTTCTATTAAATGTGTCTCTCATTTATCTTTAAGTTGAGGGTTCCTGAAGTAATTAAGGAAGGAATTTGTCATGTTACACGTTGTCAAGGTAAGGCAGTATGAGTGATTGGATTTTTGAGCAATATTGGTTGAGTTTCTATTTATCCAAACTCACCAAGTTTCTGTTGCAAAATGATTCATTTAACTCATCCAACATACCATCTTTTAAGTCAATTGGTAACATTTTTAGTTATGAAGAAAGTAGGGAAATCTACATCTTGAATGTTAACATCTTAATTTAGCAAAACCTAGGGTTTATCACATGTTTTTTATATATCTACAATCTCAACCGCAATGCAGAAAGGATTCATCATTCAAATCACAAGAGTACATAAAAGTGATGTTCGAAGGTTGTGATAATGCAAACATTGTAAGAGTAGGAATAAAGCTGTGTGAGGCATATCAAAATAAGAATTTGACTTTTTGGAGGTAAATTTTCCTTATCCAGGACCAAGAATGTTGGGAAGTTATGTGCTAAGTAGTGCCTCTATCATTTTCCAAGTTTGAGATGAGACAGTCTTGTTGAAAAATGTTTTTTTTACGATTAGAGTTAGATCGTGAACATCGACATACGAAGGGAGGTCTAATGAATGAACTAGAAGGATGAAGACCCATAACTTGCCCTCCAAACAAACATATTTGAGCACATTCTTAACTTTGATAATATAATTTTAGGTACGAGTGTCGGTAACAGTGTGAGATAGAATATGGACACCCAATACGTATACCTACTAAAGAGAACATTATCCCTGAATTTTTCAATTACTTAAAGCATGTCCTAAATTAGTTTTCTAATACAGTAAATGTTGGCATTCTTGATTGTTTGAATTTCATCCCATAACTTTGGAGCAGAAAGTCTTATGTCATTTGTAAATAAGATAATTTTTAATTTGAGTAATTGTTAGCCTGAGGTTTTCGACCTAGTGTGCTCAATAGGATTGGAGATGTAAGATAAAAAAACACAAGCTAAGTACAGGTGGATAAATCATGTTTACTGCATCATAAATCACAAGGTTCGACAGAGAGGATTCTCGCAAAAAGTAGTTGGAAGACATGAAATTCAATAATGGCAATTAAAAGATCTGAAAATGTTCTTTCGAGAATAATAGCAATTATTTTACAGTTTAATGGCTGAAGACACATGAAAGTAGTGCAGAGGATAAAAGTGCCATGTAAAAGTGTACATGTCGATTTCTAGAGAGTTAGTCATTATCGACGATTACTGATGTATATGTATTTAAGTCGATTTAATCTCGATAACAATGGTTCACATTTTTCATTGTTGTTCTCTATAGAATTCAAACATTCAAGTTACGTTTTTTGTGATTTCATCTGACTATGTTACTTCCAAACTTAAAATTATCAAGCATGAATACACTTTCTCAACACTTTTGTCTAATATATCTTTAAAAAATTTCGAATTTAACCTTATAAGTGAATTAAAGCTTTTAATTTGATTTACTAAAAACAATGTTAAACAGAATCAACTTGATAATTGAATGAGTCAAAAAAATCATTTTTAGTTAATAAACCTTTAAATTAATTTACTATGCCTATAGAACTTTCAAATATGTCATTGAAATTATAAATATTTCAAAAAAGATGATGAGTCTATTAAAATTTCAAATTGATTCTTATATTTAATTACTTACTATTTAATTAAATTTATATATTTTAATCAATTAGTGTTATTGTAGTCTATATATTTGTTGAGAAAAATATGTGAGTTGAAAGTATTTAAAAACAAAGTGTAGAAAAGCTTCACATTCATTGTTGATGATTTGAGTAAAAGAGTGACTCTCTTGTATCGAAAAAATGTCATAGACAGTATAAGATTGTGTGCATAAAAGAGTTTTTATTTAAAGAGGAGCACATTGATTGATAAAACGGAGATTAAACACTATAATATACACCTATTAACTTAAAATTTTAAATAAATGTGATTTATTTTTCATAAGATGTGTTGCTCATTGCGGATTACTTGATGATTAATAACATGTTAAAAATATTTATAATTTCAAAAGTCTATTTTAGAGTGCTCTTACACAATCCTCGACAAATTTAAAAGGTTTACTCTTTTTCAAATATCTATAATCTCATAAACTTGTTTGAGAATGTTCTAGTGAATCCAAAGACTAATTTCATGATTTACTCGTTTTGGTTTTAATTTATCATTTTATAATAATAATAATAATCAAATAATTTAGTTTGAAAAAACTATAATGAGTTTTATGTTGTTTTTAAGGCTTCTAAATTTTGTGGAAAAAAAAATCGACCTAATTACACATTTAAACTCAAAGTGAGTTTTGATTAAATTACAAATAACACTGGTTTTGACACAAACTACGTTCAAAAACTTTAACAATATTACAGTATTGTTGTTATTTCACCAAACTACAAAACCTGTCCTAAATAGGCAAAGGAACAAAATAATTGAGTATATGAATAAATTATGCTGAATTTTATTGACTTAAAAAGCTAGTAACTGGCATACATTGGCATTTCAAAGAACCCTACAGATGTAACCACCAAAAGCAAAATTGTAGGATGGCCAAATATACAACAATAACAACAAAAGTAATTTAGTAATTATAAACTATGGTTTTGCAAGAGTATTTGAATTGAATAGGCTATCTCTATCTAAATGGAACACAATCTCTTCAATTCAATTCTGTTATTCACAACTACTAGTCACTTCACTTCACTGATCCCTCTTTACCTTAAAACGCTTCCGCCTGTATACCAGCAAATTCTCAGGCCAAACCTTCCCTGCCTGTGCTCCAGCCGCCTTCTTACTCACGCCAGAATTGTCCTTGTGCTTCAAGTCATCTTTTGAAGAATTTTCAACTGGCATTTCCTCCATTTCTTGGGTTGGAGGATCAGTGATCAGCTGAAGAAGTTCCATAGGTGTAGAAGCAGGATCCAGCTCCAGGAAACCTTTAGGAGCATTTTCACCTTCTTCTCCGGTAAGCAAGTATGAAGGTACCTGGTGTGAAAAGCGAAACATCTCTTCCCTTGGAATGTTCCTGACTTTTCTCGGGTCAGCATTCTGACGGAACACTGTCTTGAAACCTGCAACCTTGGAAAGTGGAGCAACATTCAGACCGTGCTCTTCACTGTAGTCGTCAAGCACTTCCACCATTTCATATTGATGTATGACATTATCTTTAGTAAGTTCATCCCAATCAGGGGACCAGTTCTGATATAGAGCCCAAACATCCCCTTTCTTTGGATATACATGGAAAATTCCTTTGGGACCTTTTGTCCACTTGACCCTGTGAGAGAAAGAATTTAGAGTGCTGCTGATTACACGCTTGCCTAGTCGAAGATCCCCGGTGGTCTTTGGAAAGCCAGAACCGACCCACTTTATCGGTGCAAATTCATCATTGGTTTTAGAGCTCAGCCAGGTTATCTTCATTTGGAATGGATTCTTTGAGATCACACTGTGGATAAAGGCATAGTAGCGTGGCATTCCGTCTTCATCATCATATACAGCCCACACTTGGTTCTCACCAAAAGTGTCCTCAACTCGGTCCCCATCAAAGTCATGGAAATCTGGGTCTGGAACACTCATTGTGACAGAAAGAGGCACCTCTGAAACCGCAGAGATAGAGTTATTATTGGTCTCAGAATTAACAATTTCTTTTGGACCAGGCTTCACACCATTAATAGCCTTTTCTTTCTCCTTCACTTTGACTTCTGCATCTGCACCAGTGTTCTTTAGCGTAGAAGATAGATACCGATCATCAAGCGTTTTACGAATCACCTTCCACTCATCAAGCTTTCTACGACTCTCCTTCCACTCATCAAGTTTCTTACAAATCACCTTCCGAGCCTTATCTGCCAAGATGTTCCTCATATTCTGCTGAGACATGTCCCTAATACCATTTCGTCTGGAATTTCCGGGAGCACTAACCTTTCCTGCATCAAAACTATTCTTCAGAGACCCTGACACATTGGAAGAGGTTATTCCTTTTTTTGATGCCATTTCAGCTTCCGTGCCTCTTCTATCACTATCAACTTTATGTTCGCCTGTGCACCTTTTTGTACAAGAAGGCTGAAAATCTGAACCTGTAATAGTTCTTTCAACATGAGTTTTACCGATATGTGTCTCCGCACTCATGAGAGGTGTTGAATCTTCATGCCTTCTCTTCAAATTCACAGATGGCCTGTTAAAAAGATCAAGAGCTCCAGAAGCAGTAGAAACTGATGTCGGTCCACTGGAAGTGCCATTTGGCTTAGAAAAAGAACCTGACCCAAGCGATGACTTGACGGAAGACGTCAGTGCCCTACTTGAAACATGGTCGCTTCTTACCAATCCGGTTGAGTTGAACTTATGCTGATTCAACAAAGCAGCTCTTGAAGTGGGGGAAGCATTTGCAATTAAAGGCGGGGGTGGTGTCTCAGAAGCAAAAAATGGCTTGTTGCAGCCGGCACAAACAATATTGCAGTTTTTATAGACAGTAAAGTACTCATAATGTGTCCTGCAGAAACTACACACAGTCCAAAATGAAGGTGGTTTACCAAGAGGGGCGTTTGGAGTAGGATTGGTGTGAGCAACACTCATATGATCTATGTCCTTCCTGGTATCAGAATTAAACAAACCACTATAACGGGCAGATACAGAAGGTCTTGGAGTAGGATTGGCATGAGCACCACTCGTGAGATCTCTATCCGTCCGGTTAGCAGCATTAAACAAACCACCCCTACTAGCAGGTTCAGAAAGTTTCCCCCCAAGGTTAACAGTATCAAACAAACTATTCTGAGGTATACCACCACTAATCCTTTTGAAGGACTCCCATAAGCGGCACTTCTGATCAAAGGCGGCTCTCTTAGCTTTATCAGATAGTACAGTCCATGCCTGAGATACCAGCTTAAATGCGCCGTCTGCACCCACCGACTTGTTTTTATCCGGATGCAGAGTAAGAGCCATCTGCCTGTAACATTTCCGAATTGTTTCATCATCATCCAAGGGCTGTGCACCAAGGACCTCGTACCAATTTACGTCTGCACCAACTTTTTTTTCAGCAGCTATATAAACATCAATTGTTGCCAGCAGTTCAGTGATGCCGTCAATATTGGGATTCAGGACCCGAGCCCTTGTTGCAAGTAGTTTTGCAACACTAAAGTTATCCTGTAATAACTTCTTCTCTGCCATCCTTTTAGCCCTTGAGGCACCATCTTCGGAACATTCCATTACTAGCTGGTTTGTTTCTCCGGCTAATCACTCTTTTTGATTCCAAGCATAACACCGAAGCAACATCAACTAGGAGTGAATAAATATTCACACCAAGAATCCGACAACTCGGCGCATGCAATAAGATACTTCCCTTAATCGCACAAGCCTAAGAAACCCTGTAAACAATCCAAGATGAAAAAACTACATTACCAACAAAGAAATGAAAAACAAAACTAAAACCGTGCAACAAAGTTTTGACAAAACAAGAGAAACAATGGTTAACAGATAACATCGAATGGAGTTATGTGAGTGCTTATTCCAATCCATTAAATCCCAATTTTTTTTCTAAATAATCAAGTAACTACAAATTCAATGCAGATACTTGAGTACCAAATTTGCAAAACAAACATATCGATATCATAAAGTTAGGTTTCGAACAAAATCTAACATCCTCAATGCCCTACCACCTTCCCCGCCACAATCCAGAGAACAATCAAACCCAATTGCAAAATAAAACACGAATCACAGCTTAATTCCAAAACATACACCATCAAACACCCGTTTCAATCACTTCTTTCAAAATTAGGGCAACATTAACAAACCAAAACAAAAAATGCTTCTTTTTATCTATCACAAGTAAATCCTTGCTAGCCCAACTCTTCAATTTGAACAAATTTCACAAACATCCAGTCGGAACAACACAATAGAGCAAAAAATCAATCGAAATTCAAACGACGAGACTTAAGAACAACACAAACTATCCTTCATGCAATTCTTCGAGCGCATAAACATCAAACAACAATCACAAAGAAAGAACAATAAAAAGCACAATAACTAAAGCTTTTTTTCAAAAAAAGAAAACACCATGTAGAATTTAAGGTTTCGGATTGTCCACAGTAATGTGGTTGCAATAAACACCACCGCTTCGACAAGGTTGTCGCGGACGGCATTGGTGGTTCGGTTACGTCACAAAAACCCCGTAAAAACAAAATAAATAAAAATAACCATCCAAAACGAAACTCAAAAAAAAAAAATCCTTTTTTTCAAACAGAATCAAGATACAAACTTAACTACAGATTATACGAACTGATACGAAAAAAAATCACGAAATATAAACGCACATTGATTGAAATAAAAAAAATGAAGAAAAATAGTACGCACCTTAACAGAGAGGAATGAAGAACAATGAGAAATTGAAGAAAAAAATGAAGCTGTTTGTATTTTATGAATGATGAAAATTTGAGGAACCGGTGGCTCGAAAAGTTGAGAGAATTGGGCTCCGATCAGAGTTTCAAAGCTTACTCTGTGCGGTGCATGTTTTTGCCAATATGTTAAGAGGTTTTTATACTGTTTTTCATTCACTTCTTCATTTTTATTTTTAAATAAAAAATGTACTAATAAAGTATTTTTATTTATTAAATTTGACCTAATAATATATAATCGTGTAAAGTAATATATTTACTCGTATACTTTTTTGGTTTTATTTTGCTATACTACTTTACTAGATATATAAAATTTATATAAATATTAAATGCATTAAATTAAAATAGTACTAAAATTTATTAATGCTTCATTAAAACTTATTTTAATATGTTCGAATTGAAGCTGTGTTTGCAAAACCATATGTTGCATCGTTTCAATGAAGTAAATAAAGCAATTTAGTATTTTTGTGTGATCAATAATATTTTTAAACTTTCTGCGAAAAGGTATAAGTAGAAAGGAAAAGAAATGGGAAAAGGTGTAAGTAGAAAGGAAAAGAATTAAAATGAGAAAAAAAATGTGATTGTGAGACAATGTATATAGAAAATATATTAAAACATGGAAAAAGAAAATCAAAGTTACATATTTAAATAATGATAATAATATAATTTAAGAAAAGAGACGGTACACGTCATGTGTAAATTATCTCTTACACTTTTAATCAATGATAAAATCTCATTAAATTAATTAATAAATTTTAAATTATTTATATAATTTAACATTTTTTAATTTTTAATTAAGATATAATATTTTTTTACAATGATACTATATTGCAATTAAACTCATATAATTTTTTTTTTAAATAATGGTAATTTTTGATAAATTTATATGGCAGGTGAGTTTAGTTTGAGATATTATCTTTTTTTACATAAATTTAATTGGAAATATTTTCATGGTCAAGGATACACAAATTTAATATTTTGTGTTTTTAATTTAGGACCTTTTATGGTGCTAGATAAAATGAAGGTTTTGTATAATTGTTTTCTGAATCAATTATATGTTTTTAAATCAGTTTTGAAATAATTTTTTTAATATTTTAAACATAAAAATATTTTTATTTAAAAAAAAATTGAACACGTATTTAAATTTATATATAGTTAATAGGTAATATAAATTGTTCTTTGAAATAAAATAATTTAAATGGTTCTAACAAAATTAAGTATTTATATTAAATTAAATTATAAAAGTTATATTTTTTATTCAAAAAAATTTATACTTTCTCTTTTATTAAAATGATAATTAAAATTTAATAATCAAAACATAAAGTAAAATAAAAATTTATTTTAAACATTATTTTAAAATAGTCTACAATTTTTAATTGAAAAAATAGAAAAAAAATATTTATCAAAATGATGTTGATTATTACCATTGAACTAGAACTTCAAATAATAATATAAAACTAACTTTAAAAAATATTTTTAATAAGTTAAATGTTTTAATAAATTCATAAATATTATTACATATATTAAATTAGACTAAATGTGGCTGTATTATATATGTATCCGCTGAAATTATAATTTAAATTGAATTTTAAAATATAAAATAAGATAAAATTGGTTTCACTTGTACAAAATTATAAAAAATAAGATTTGTTTCAATGGCAATTATATTTTATTAAAAAAAAGTTGGCATTTATTAAGAAAAATAGATAACTATGTATTTAAAAAAACTAAAATTAAAAATTTTAATAAAACTGGTGGATCAATAAAAACTAAATAGATAATATAATAATATAATAAAATATCAAAAACAACTAAGAAAAAGTATGCCTCGTCTTAAATTTGCTTTAGGCTTATATGTTCGAATTTTTTTTATTAATTCAAAATTACCATATAAATGTAAATTTAAAAAAAAAATTAAATTGACCAAGTTTCAACATTGTGTCGCCAATCTATATGGCGATAGAGTGAAAGCTTCATTTTGTTGGTAAGTGGTATCGCCAATCTGTATGGCAATAGTGTGGAAATGGAAATGAAGTCGCCATAAGTGCAAGCCATTTTTTTTTTTTCGTTTTAGGGTTTTAATACATCAATTTATTTCTATATCTTTAAAATATTAATAGTTTTAAATAATTAAGTGAAGTTTAATAAATGTTAAAAATAAATATTAAATTATTTTGTTTGTTTTTTATAATTAATTAAAATATAAATAATGAATAAAAAAGAAAAGCAATTTAAATTAAATTATAGTTTATGAAAAATATAAACTATAATTTAATTTAAATTGCTTTAAAAGACTAAAAAACATAAACTATAGTTTATGTTTTTTATAATTAATTGATATTTAAATGACATTAAAAGATATAGAAATTTAATTAATATTAAAATATATTAAGAGTGTAATATAATGAAAGTTACAATTGAACAAAAAAAACTAATGGCCGACTCTATCCAAGCGACTACCGGTGCCACATTGTGGGGGATGTGTAACAACCCTTCTAAACCTCACGGAATATATATAAATAACCAGAGTAAATCATCATGCATTCACCAAAGGGTGTCACACATAATACTCAAAACATCAAAAATCACCTGTCATGCTCATTAATACTTTAATAAATAATCATGCTTCTCAAAATTTTCCTTCGCATGTAGTAGCGAATTCATTTTATATCATAATTCTCTTAATAGAACATTCATGTTCATCACATAATTCCACATTATTTAGGCACTAAGGCCAACATCATAATATTCTAACAAATATAAGAACATAGCGTAGAGTACATAATGTATCTCTAAGATATAAACCAAGCGATCCCAGTGTTACATGATCAGAGCATGACTCGACCCAATATAATTAAAATAATAAACAGCTACACCAACAGCGACCTCGCAACTACGAACAGTCATACTCTTTGATACCTGCATGATGTCGTATAGGACATCATTCTAGCAGAAGGGTGAGAATTCACATCAATATTGAAATCATAAGATAAAGAATAATGTAAAGCATGTCATGTGGTACCAACACTTGTTATTATTTTTCGGTTTTTACATTTAAACCGGGTCCGTCCTCTAGACCAATAACAAACAAAAACCCGTCCTCTAGGCTTTCAAACCCACTCTTCTAGGTTTGGAACAAGTCACTAGTCTCCACGAAACTAGCAAGCATTGCCTCTTGACAACGAATGATGCGTATGCAATCAACAACCAAATGCACTTAAGACTGTTCTCGCATCTTAATCCCATGCATTCTCAAATAATTCATCACACAAGAATGACATCATGATTGCACACACACAACACATTCCATAAACATCAAAGTATTCATACTTCCAACATCATCATTGCGTTTATTAAGTAATGCACAAAAATCAACTAGATTCAATCACAATTCAACGATTACACATAGGACAATCAATCCATTACAAATCATTTAATTCAACACTCAATACACAATCAACTTGTTAAACAACAATTGTTATCTCAATAGCCAACCGAAGGTTTATAATCAATCAATACTCAAGTAAATAATCAATAAATCATCTCAATTGATCCATGTTTTGTTAAGGTCTAATTAACCAAAAACTCCATGTAATCAACCCTCTAAAAACATGATTTTTCTAAGTTTCAGCTAGTGCAATCGATTGGAGTTAGGGTGCAATCGATTGGTCCTTTGAAAATTTCATCGCTTTAGCTACTGTTTTATGGTGCAATCCATTGACACCTTAGTGCAATCGATTGCTTCTTTTAAAATTTCAGCATTTTAGCTACTGTTTGTTGTGCAATCGATTGACATCTAGGTGCAATCGATTGCTC